TAATTGCAATATGGGCAGGCAGTCCCCAACTTATGAAGCCTTATTTACAATTTTTCCACTTTATAATGAAGCAAAAGCAATATGCATTCAGTAAAAAACGTCCTTTGATTTTTGAAATTTTATCTTTTCCCTGATTAGTACTGATATAAAATACGCTCTTCAGTGATGACTAACTTCCAATCAGCCTTCTATCATGAAGGGCAAACACCACAAACTCAACAGTATACTGTTGCTTAGGGAGATGATCTGTAGGTTAGATGTTATAATGCATTTCAACCTACCATAACTCATCTTATAGAAGGCTGATGGAGGTGCAATCCCTTCCTGTGTAGAGGAGTATCTGTGTATTAGGATGTGGTTTTAGAAACACCTAGCAGAATCATACAGAGGATGATTCCAGGAAAAGATTTCAGAGATGAGAATTTGGTCCTAGCAAACATCTCTACCCTGAGAAATGACAGGGATGAGATGGGTAAAAGAATGGAATGTAGAGTACAGACAGAGGACACGAGGCAGAATGTGCAAACTCGGGAGGAAAAGAAGGTAGGCCACACAGAGGGGTACTCTTCTTTTGAAGCACCCAATGATCCAAAGCATCTTCCTGGACAAGAAAGATACACTTCAAAAGATGGCACTCCAAGCTGCACATGGCAGTGAACACCTTTAATTGCAGCATTTGGGAAGCAGAAACAGGTGAATCTCTGTCAGATGGCGGCCAGCTTGGTCTACATAGGGAGTTTCAAGCCAGCTGGGGTTACAGGGAGACACTGTCTCAAATAAACAAAATAAAACAGAAAGATAAAGATCCATGACATGGTGAAGGAGAGTTTACTCTCACAAGGGAGGATGTGCAAAAGCAGGTAAGTGTAAACCTCTGCCAACCTGCATTTCAAATTTCATTATAATTTCTAATAAAAATTATTGGAGTATTTTTAGACAGGTATTGTGGTCTGAATGAGAAATGTACCCCAGACTCATATATCTGAATACTTGGATCCCAGTTGATGATGCTGTTTGGAGAGGTTATGGAACCTTTAGAAGGTACAACCTTGCTGGAGGAAGTACGTCACTGGGGTGGGGTGTGAGAGCTGATGGCCTCATTTATGGTGGAGACACAGTCTCTCGGCTTTCTGCTCCTGCTGCCTGCTGCCACGGCTCCCCTGCCATGATGGACTCTCCCTCTGGAACCACGGCCCAAACAAACGCTTACTTCCTTAAGTTGCCTTTGCTCGTGGTATTGTATCATAGCAACAGAAAAAATAATGCATCAAGGTTTCAGTACATAGCCCAGGCTGACTTGGAAATCTGATTCTCCTACCTCAGACTTCTAAGTGCTAAGAGTACAGGCATATGCTTATATATCACAGTTTGACTAGGAGACTCTCCATTTAAAGAACATGTCTTTATTCTCATAGGCCTGTTAATTTCAGTTGCTCTGGAGAGCAGAAGGATCACAAAGACAAGACCAGCTGTGACTAGAGAGTAAGTTCAAGCCTAGCCTGGGTAACTTAATGAGACACTGTTTCAGAATATAAAGTAAAAAAGGGCTATAGATACAGCCCAGTGCTTGTAGAGCATGTGCAAGACCCTACGTTCAGTCCCTAGATATCACAAAAATAAGTGATCTCTCAAAATATAATTCAGTCTTTGGATGCATATATTTTATGTGTATATAGACACAAAAAATTCTAAAAGCATAAATAGGTTACTGGGAAATAGAGGACTCTTGTGGTTTTTACTTCTTTCCTCTTGCATCTTTTTCTAAATTTGTTTCTTTAACTTTTTAAAAAATTACATATTATGGGGGGGAAGGGGGAGAGAGAGAAAGGGAAAGTAAGTAAGTTGGGGGAGAAGCTAGTCTGTACAACATGTCACATGGGTAGAAGCCAGAGGACAAGCTGAAGGAAGTTTGTTCTTTAAACCTTGTGGACGGCTTACAGGCAAGCGCCCTTACCTGCTGATAATTTTTGATAATCAACAAGTCTTTTTCAATCAACAGACATTAAAAATTAAAAATTAAACCAAGTGTCTGTATAGGTTTTCTTGTTGCTGCTGTTTTATGTATAACCTGTCTGCAAGCTCAAAACATTTGAAAATCCTAATGTGAAAGAAGGACCATAAGTCTCAGGAATGTCAGAGAACAGGGATTCACAGCACGGTTCCCTTGTTTAACTCGGTAAACTTAACCATGCATGCTGAACTCTCAGAATACATATCCAAAAGTGACAGCAACTGGAGCAGACCATTTCCTCCTCCTCAGTCCTCACCTAGATAAGGCAGAACTTCAGAAGTTAACAAGTACTATGCCCTTAGGAGGACCATCAAATAAAACAAAAAGGCTAATTTACAAGGCCACTGGACAGTCTGGAGAAAACCTCTGCATGGCTTCCTATCTACAGAAACATTAAAGAAAACAGAACGAAAGTTCAGAATTATTTCTTGTTCTGAATAGTAATATGAAGAATCAACCTTTATGTTTAAAATATGTAATCGTTCTCAGAAAGTGTCACAGGTTAAATGGTATGTTAAATTTTATCTATGACTTGAATTGAAAATTATTTCTAAAATATATTCTCAATGGCTTAAATGAAATAGCAGCTAAATGCAATTCAGTGTAATTGTGTGCTAGTCTTTCTATAAAATCCCCACATCCTTCAATGGTTAAGTCTGACTAACCTCAAATGACATTATTAATCCAATACTATAAGTTGGTAAGCACATTAAATCAAGACAGAGCCGGTGTGGTTGCTCACGTCTACAGCTCCAGCATCAAGAGGCTCTATAGTGAAACCCTGGCACTAGCCTGGGCTACACAGTGAGATCCTGTCTCAATAACAAATAAATAAATAAATAAATACAAATAAATAAAGACACAGCAATAGCATTTTAATTTTAATGCCTGATTGATACGTCAAGATGGAAAATAGATAATAACTGAGTTTCTAAAATGGAAAATGAAAGCAATATAATTTTATTTTCAGAAAAATAGTCTACCCTCAAGTATAAACAAGGGGATGAGCCGTTCTCCTATATTAGACAACTTTTTATATGTCGCTTTGTAGAACAAGCCTCTGAGAAAATGAAGCAATCACACAATTATACCAGTGTTCTTTCCACATTAAGACATACAAGCCCCACATATTTAAATGAGAGACAAAGGAAAAATACTACTTCTTAGTAAGGTTACATAGGAAAGGAAATATTTCTTACTTTAAAAGCAGATGTGGGACTTGTTCCTACAGTGAAAACTGGTGTTATCTTAATTGTTAATTATTCATCCCAATACCCTAGACTTGCTCCTGGGAGCATGCAAGCCTTCTCCACCTCCAGCTATGTGAACACTAGGCCCCTAATTACTGATAAGGATCTTAACTGCAGGAGCTAACTGATATTACAGATTATGCTTTACCCCTCATTGTACTGAGGTAAGCAAACTGAGACCAAAAGAACAGAAGTGTCTTCTCAGAGGCTTCTTGGAGGCTGAGACAAGAGGCACTACCTTGAGTTCTAGGTCAGCCTGGACAACAGAGTGAAACCCTGTCCATAAAAGAAGCAGAAAGAAAGAAAGAAAAGCCCATTTGGGATATTCCTGTCCACACATTCCAATAAAAGGTGCCAACTATAACAAGTCACTTCACTTCACCTGATTGTGTAGGGATGTTTTCAATGGCCACAGAGCATGTTTTAGCCATTACAATAGTCCAAGAGGACATCAGTCATATACTAATGTCCTTCGGATATTAAGTGTAGGAGTAGCGTTAATTTAATCAAATATCCTCTAATTTAATTTTATCCATAATTAAAAAAATGATGGTACCCTCATAAATTAAGAAATAATGTAATTGTATTCTCTCCCATACATACAATGAAGTTGGGTGATTCAGATACATTTTCAACTAGTAAATCAATATTATACCAATCCTGGGGCTTAGGTAGATTGTGTATTTGGGAACTGAATAACCACTTTAATTAAAGCTTTTTTGAGCTGTAGAATGCAACACAAAACATGAGTGATTTAAAGGTATACATTAAAATCAAGCTTTTAAAAAGTATTTACAGATGAAAGCTTCTTCTGCAATTTAGATGTTCATAAATGTTTCCATTAGCTAAGAGGTATTTTGGAATGTAGTCAAACTATATTGAATGTCAGGACCTAAAAGCAGGGCTGGGGAGAAGACTCCCTAGACAAGTCTCTGACAGTTCTTACATTATAGCCGCTGTTCTTCTAAATCAGTTGTCCCTAAAAGGATAAGGAAAAAATTCTAACTACACCTACACCTGAGAGAGAGGGAGAGAGAGAGAGAGAGAGAGAGAGAGAGAGAGAGAGAGAGAGAGAGAGCACGAGCAGGTGTATTTGCATAGGCACCTTTCAGGCTAATTCTGCTTTCTCAATACAAAATGGATTGGGGCGTCTATCAAATTGTTGACAATTTACTACTAAAAAGTCTCTCACTCTTCCCTCAAAGAAAAAGTCATCCACTCCGTCTCCACAACTCTCCAAGTTCTTTCCTACAGTTAAATGTGAAAACCAAAATAACCACTCCTAGGAGGAGAACTGGCAGACTGCATGTTTATGTCAACCTTCAGAAAAGGAAAACACAGAGCCCCAACTCATCAGGAAAATCACTAGTCGAGATCAAACCATTTTGTGACAATTTATCCCTGTCACGCGTTTCACTCCATAACTTTGTATTCCAGTTTTGCACTGGCTCGCCTGTGTCAACCTCAGAACGCTTCAAGAGCAAGCCTCTACTGTAAGCAGAACGTTTTTTTACCATGAAGTGTTCGGTTCATCGCCTGTAGCTTTAGAAAAACTTCAATCAAACACATTTATTTTCCCTCTGCTGTGTAGAACCGCGGGACATCGGGCTTGGGTTGTGGCAGGAGAGCAGCCCCAAGAATTAAACAAACAGGCAAAATACCCAAACACGGAACACGCTAAGACAAAGGAAACACAAGCGTGTGAACAGGAAATGAAGCAACTCTATAGACATAAATACCTTTTGGGGCCGCCAACGTAGGTGAAAGTAAAGGTGGAATCTGAGTATCTGAAATCTGAAACGGAAAGTCGCGTTAAAATCCACCCCTGGAGTGGGCTGTTTTTAACCCCAATTCTGTCTAGAACCTCCTATCTCATGAGAGCCCAAGAAGGCCCCACTGGCAGGGAGCGAGAAGGGCTGGAGAGCCCGAGGTCTGGGCCACCCTGCGGGGGAGGGGATGCTGAACACCCCGCGGGGTGCAGTGGGAGGCCGCCCCCCGCAACAAGTGCCGGGTGCCATGGCAACAGCGGGAATTTCCCAGCCTGGCGGCCGGAAGCAACCCCCGCCAGGCTTCTGGATGGGAAAGCAAAATCTGAGCTCGGTCTCGGGGGAGCAAAACATGGACGCGAGGCGACCCCCGGGCGCAGGCCTGGGAGCCACGGGAAGCCGGAGGGAGCCTCTCGCCCCTGGGGCGGTATCCGGCCGCTCAGAGAGGGGGGCGGGAGAGCAGCCAGCGCCGCCTCTCCCCGGCCTCGGCGCCGGTGCAGCGGAGGGAGCAACGGAGCAGCGCTGCGGGCTCGGTTCCCGGCCGCTCGGCCAACAGAGCCAAGCCGCGGCGGCTGGAGCCCGGGAGGCAGGCTCGGATGCTCCGGGCAACTCCCGCGACTGCAAGCCTGCGCCCCGCTGCCCCGCCTGCACCCGCCGGGAACCCGGGGCCGGCCCCCGAGAGCTGCCCTGCTAGGCGGGGGAAGGGGACAGACTCGCGCCCCCCTCCCCCGGGGCCTCAGCTCTCGCCCTGCAGCTGTCGCCACATGCACCTGGAATGGAGACGTGCAACCCGGTGCAACCCCACACCTCCTGCCACCCGCGTCGCGGTGGCCACCTGGGCGGGGGGCGGCGGTCGCACGGAGGGGAGGCTGGCTCCGGGTCCCCGGCTCTGCCAGACTACAACTCACCTGCAAACAGGCAGTCTTTCTCGGCTCTGGACTTCTGGATCACGACGTCGATATCCTTCTGAATTCGCTCTTGCCTTGAACACATCCCCATGAAATAAATCCCTGGAAAAGAAGCAGCCGCTATTTCCACCCCACCCCACCCCCCTCGCACGCTTCCAGCTTTCGTAAATATTCAGTTAAAAATGAAACCTCTGGCCGAGGCAGGGGCTGAAGGCGAAGTGGTTTCGGAAGTGATCTCGGGTGAGAGAGGAGGAGGTGGTGGAGGAGGAGGAGGAGGAGGAGGTCGGCTTTGCATTCCCAGATGTGACCGCCCAGCTGCTGCTCGCCGCTGCTGGATTCCAATTTCCTCCCCTTCTGACAATGGATGGTGATGACACCGAGTCTCACTTTCTCCCTCCCCCGCCCGGACTGACGACCATGGGGGGCCCGGGACCGCTGGAGAGCTTTCGGCGGGCGCGGGGCGAGCCCTGCTCCGATTCACGCGTGCACACCCCTCGAGGCCCGCACGCCGGGCTTCCACACCCGCGCACACTCGCGCCCGCGGGCGGCGGCCGTGCCCAGGCTGCTGCAGCGCCGCCCGCCCGCCGCAGACCCTCCCGCACCGGCCACCGGTCACCGGGCCCGGCTGCGCGCCGCCGGGACGTTAATAGTATCCGCCATCCGCGCAGGCTGGATTTCCCCACCCCCGACCTCCACTCGCGCCAGGAGCTGAGTGACAGTGTAGGTTGTGAAGACTCCAGTCTCCTCCCCCCTCCACCACTTTTATGAATTCGACTCCACTTTCAGAAGGAATTATGACTCATATGGAAAACCCAAGCCGGAGTGGCTGGGAGGGAGAAAGGGGGAAAGAAAAATCTTTACAAATTAAAACATAAATAAAGCGAACAAATCTTTGCTTGTAATCACATCAAATGAGAAGGGAAAGCCTTGAGATTAGTCCAGACGCAACCTCCAGGTTCCTTAATACTTCAAATTTTTTTCTTGTAGAGGTGGTGGTGGTGGTGGTGGGATGTTGTTGGATTGTTTTTCTTTCCCCAGGTTGAAGAGCCCTTTGGGGATCTCTCATAAAACGCAACTGTTTCTGAGAGGCACTTCCAAAGACTCATCAGTTCTTCCTTCTGAGGTATGCCTGTTGATAGGAAATTGGCAGATGCAACTGGAGTGTCCCAGAATCTCTCTAAGGGTATCTAGCTTGACTTGTTTTTAAAAGTCACCCTTCCACAGTTAGTCCCAGAAAGATTCTCCAGTGCTGTTACCTTGTGTAGAAAGGTAATGCTGTAAAGATCCTCACTTCCTGTCCTGCCTCAGGCCCATGGATAGGCGCCAGCAGGCACTTTTCTTGTGCACCTTTCCTAAGGAGTTTCGCCTGGCAGACCTTGTCTGTTTTGTTTTGCATTCCAAGACAGTTCTGTGTCTGGAATACAGGAGGTATTATCAATCAGCTGGTCAGGATCCTTTTAATCTGCCGATTAGGAATAGTGAGTAGGCCAGAAGCTCATGCAGTGCTGGCAGGGCTGGGTGAGTGCCTGAGGCGTAAAGGGCAGAACAGGCAGATCCAGGAGTGTTAAAGCTTCAAACCCTTTAGAAGCCATAGACTTATGGGTCTAAGCTCTCAAGTTGGAGGCTTACCACTCCAGCCTTTAAATGTCTGCAGGGCCACACTTGTCCTCTCCAGTAATTCCCAGTTGCTAACAGCAGCAGAAAACAGCAGCAATTAGGTGGGGCTTTCTAGTATTGAAATTCTCATATAGGCCTTGGATGGGGAGACCTTTAGCACTACAGTGACAAGTGTTAAGGATCCCAGGCCTAGAGTTGCTGAGACTCTATTCCATTGAGGCATAACAACACTCAGGAACTCTTCCAGAGACCAGGCTAGGGCCAAGTTTCTCATCACCATCTTGAGACTTTTTTAAAAAAGGACAGTGTTGCAACACCAGAGGGCAGCACAGAAGGGAGTCTCTTGGTTGACTGACAGAAAGCCAAACAAATTGCTTATAAAGCTAGAAAAAGGGTGTGGTAAGGGTGTTTGCACCAATCATGGCAGTCCCTCATACAGATGACAGACCATGTTTGCACCAATCACAGGCCTTCTGCTGAATCACCTGGGGAAATAGTATCTGTCTGGTGGGGTCACCCAGAGTTTACAAAGGCTTGTGGTGGCAAGAGATCCTATGCTTGCTGTTGGAAACACTCAAGTCTCTGCCAGTGACTTCGAGAGTCAGAGTTACGCTTCAATACCTGAATTATTATCCTGTCTCATAGAGGGAGCTAAAACAATGAGAGTTTTCTCAAGGCATTGGTTGGTGGAGTGCTCATTATGGCTGATGGCAAGCATAAAAGCATTTGGCTGACTGCTTGACCAATAATCCTGTGCTTAAGGCAGCTAGGACACCAGAGAAGCTTGACAATTAGGGTGTCAATTCACCCTTGACCCCAACATACCATTAAAAGAGGTGCTTACAACAAAAACTCATCACCTTACTAACATTGATTTAGTAGTATTTAACAGTGCTTTAAAAAAAACATCTGACTTCTGTAGCACAGAGAGAGAGAGAGAGAGGAGAGAGAGAGAGAGAGCCCTATAATTTTTCAAAAAACGATCTCAAGTCTAGGCAAATATATGAATAGTTGATCTTTGTGGTCTTTCTTCTTTATAAGGTACCTAAGTTTTATTCAACTCCTTTACCTGCCCAAGTTCCTCAGCTCTTTGTCTGTCCAGTTCAATTGTTCCATAGTGACATGACATTTCAGAGACTATGACTGACAGATATCCTCCCTGACAGATACTTAGGATTCTAGTGCATCAAATATGAGAAAGTTTGTTACAACTCCGTCACTTGGAAGATAAGAAACATTTTGAAATGTTGTGTTGTATAGCCATCCCCACTGCAGTTAAAAAGAATACACCTCTGCATTCTCTAGATCCACTGCAGCCTTTGTTATGGAACCACAATAGCGACTTCTCTTCCTCCTAGATGACTCCTGATTAGGGCCCACCAGGTTCAAGTCCTCCGTAGAGGCTTTGTATAGATACCTCAGCCAACAAAAGCACATTCTTCTCCACATCGCCTACTGCTATGGTACACAAGAACTTCCTTTATCCATTATGTACACTAAACTAATCTAAGAGGCTTGAAATCTATTAGCTCACAAAAGTTGTCCCTATAGTTGACTAGCCCAAGGCTTGGGTTCTTAAAGTAGGACACCTACTGCATATGAATTTGGAATAGCTTTAAAACTACTTCCCACTTACTACTACTAAGTTTATCATTTACAAAACAAGGCCTTTTTGTGACTTTTCATATGTCTGCTTTTTGTTTTCTTTTTTCTGGGGGAGGGGGACGGTTCATTTGTTTTTGATTTTTAAACAAACCTAAGCTCACTTTGGTCAAGCCCCTTGTATTAGTCAAGGTTCTCTACAGGAACAGAACTGATAGAATTAATATTTATATATTGTGCTGGATAGCTTCAGTTGTCAACTTGACCCACCTCGTTGGAGGGAACCCCAGTTGAAGGATTGTCTCCATTGGATTCACCTGTGGCCAATGTCTGTGGGGCATTTTCTTGCTTATTGAGTGATGTGGGAAGGACCAGCCCACTGTGGGTAATGCCACCCTGGGGCATAAGAGAAGGGCTGTGCAAACCAGAAAGCAGTGTTCCCCCATGGTCTGTGCTTCAGCTTCTGCCTCCAGGTTCCTGCCTTGGCTTCCCTCAATGATGAACTGTGAGCTGTAAGCCAAATAAACCCTTTCCTCCCTGAGTCGGTTTTGGTCAGTAATTTTATCACAGCAGGAGAAAGCAGACTAGAAAATATACTAAAAAGGGATTATGAGATTGGCTTATAGGCGATGGTTCTGGTAGCGCAGCAAAAGTCATCTCACCCTGGAGAAGCCGAGAACCTGGTAGCTGTTAGTCCACAAGGGCTGCATGTCTCAGCAGTTCCAGTTGACTCAAAAGGCCCAGAGAATTCCAGGAGAGTTGCTAGTTTCCAGTGTATACTGGAAGAAGCTGGTCCTAATGACAGTGAAGGAATGCCACAACAATAGGAGAGATGAAGTTGTCAGCAAGGGTCAAGGTGAGCAGGCAAAAAGCAAAGTTTCCTTTGTCCATGTCCTTTTATGCCACCAGAAAGCACCACCCACCTTCAGGGTGGCTGAATCTTCCCATTTCAAATAATCTGATGAAGAACATACCTCACAGGAGTGCCCAGAGGCTTCTGTTTTAGTTGATTCTAGATCTAGCCAAGTTTACAACTACAATTAGCCATCACATTCCTTAAAATGTGATATATTTAAATGTTTCTTTTAATCTTGAGCAAGATAAAAGAGTTAAAATCAGCAAATATATCTATCATGCATCTCTGTAATGAGTTGTCTTCATACAGTCTATACTGAGACATCAATATTGTAGTTCAGATCCATATGGAAGAATTCTTCCAAACTCTCCCTACAGCCTATCTCCCCTTTACCTTGCCTTTTCTCAGGCTCTTATTTAAATGCTTACATTATGTGTGTTCTCAAAATTGATAACACAGGTATGGCAGTGCAGGACTAGAATCCCAGCACTTAGGAGGAAGTGGAGACAGAGGGGTCAGGAGATCAAGAAGCTTCAGCTACATAAGGAGTTCAAGGCCAGCCTGGGCTAGATAAAGCCAAGTCTCAAAAACACAATGTTTTGGTTTTGAGATAAGAAAGTCCAAACCTTCCCTGTGCCACTGACTGCACTCAGAAGCATAGCACATCATAGGCCTTTCATAACTATTAAATAAAATCATCCACAATGAGGATGAACTCTGGTGATATCCTGTATTAGTTACTTTTATGTTGTTGTGAGGGAAACACTGACCCAAGCAACTTATAGACAAGTTTATTTGTGCTTATTGTTCCAAAGGGGCAAAAGTCCATCACAGCGGGGAGGCATGGTGGCAGAGGTGGCTGGAGGAAGAGTGGAAGCTAAGCACTCACATCTGCAGGCAGGCACAGGAAGCAGAGAGCTACTTGAGATCCAGCAAGGCTTAATAACTCTCTAAGCCCACCCCCAGTGACACGCTTTCTCCAGCATGCCCACAGCATCTAAGACCTCCTAAAACAGCACCACCAACTGGGGACAAAATGTCCAAATACTTAGAGCTTATGGGGGACATCTTCATTCAAACCACCACATGTCACATGAATTAAAAATAATCTCTATGTTAAACTGGGCATGGTGGCACAAACTTTAATCCCAGCACTCAGGAGGCAGGGGCAGCTGGATCTTTTTGAGTTCCAGGCCAGCCAAGGCTGTACCTTGAAAAGTAAAACAAAAGTAATAATCTCTATTTGGATC